GGGGGGGGGGGGGGGGAGTCGGCCAATCATTGTGAATGACTTATGTACCCATTTGTTCGGTGCGGATGTATATCTTCTCGCACATACGGAAATCCGTGTCCATCGCGAATTGCGTTGTTGCCACGGCTTGCTGCGCCGTCCATCCCTGTGGCCTAGTTGAGGATGGAACGGTTGTTCTGTAGGTGGCGAGCATTATGGTACTCTCAGCGCAGCGAATCGTTCCGGCATGGAGTGCGTCGAAATAGGCTCAACTCTACATCACCACGTAACATTCCTTGTTGCGTTGTCGACTGTTGGTCTAGCGTTGTTATTGTTGTTTTTTTTTCTCCCATCGTTGGACTCTGTCTTCTGCCCCTCTGGCCCCTATCCTCCACTTCTACTAGCTAGACGACCCAACCGGGGTCACACAGGAGGGGGGGGGTTGGACCCCCTCCCGCGGTTCCTGCCTGAGATATTTTTATCGCGAGAAGGGTACAGCAATCCCTTCCCTCGTGTATGCATGTGACTGTTGTCGGCCCATTTGTTGTGGACGCCAGTCTTGCTGTATTTGGCGCACCAACCGGGGTCCATCTCTCAAGGCGACTTCTCCAACGGAAAACTCTCTATCCTCATCCCAACTTGCAGACGTTGGTTCAATATCGCTCACAACCACGGTCGCTTCATTTCAACCCAAGAACTTCTCGTACACTAACGGCCTCGTTGGTCTATTATCGCTCGCAATCACGATCTCTTTGGTTGCGTGCTTGGCGGGAAAACACAACATTTTTTTGGCGGGGGAAGGCCCTCTCTTTGAGGGATGCGGTGGACGCGAACGCTATCGAAGCCTCGGGTTTCCTCGATGACCCGGAGGTGCAGGAGGCGCTCTTGCCGCTCTTGCCCGAGAGAAACCAGACGGCGGAGGAGCTACGAGAAACCGTGAGTGTCGTTGCCATGCTCTTTCAGAGTACGCCCTTGCGGCGGAGCACGTGGTGGTGGCGCGGTGAATGTTACTGCGCGATACTGGAGCTGTAAACCAAGATGTGCAGGCGTTTTGCTGTTTTTGGTTAAGTGGAGATCTGCCAACTTCACACCGCGTCCTTGATGGATGAGGTCGTTTCGCAATATCCTGTGTTGGGCCCGCCTCACCTCTTCTCTCTCGCTTTGCTTGATCTCTCTCTCTCCGACTTGGCTGCCGCATGCTAGGGATCCTCTCTGAACCCGACATATGGAATGCCAAACCCGAAGCATGGAATATAACTTCGAACCACAACGGTTCGTTGTGGAACGTTCGGCGTAGTCTTTCGCAAGATGCAGCAGAGGGAGCAACAGACCATGATTTTTCGAACTTTTCGAATGACTTGGCCTCATGTCCTTGCGCGCCCTGTCGTCGTGGCTCTCGCGTGCTGTGGTACGACGTTCTGACGCCTTACGTGGTGAACTCTGCGACGAATCTACTCATTAGATCCGAAGCCCCCAGCTTCAGCAGTCGCTTTCATCGCTCTCTCGCGCCCTAAGGGTAAGTGGGGTTCCAGGGCTGCAGTAATCTCAGTGTTCGGCTACATGGCTGCATGTGTGTCCTTTCTTCCCCAATCACTACGTTGATTGTCGTTTCCTCCTCCCAACCATTGTCGTGATCGTCGTTTCCTCCTCGTTTTTTGTAGTTGGGGTGTGGGGTGTGAGGCGGGCACTGGGGTTGTTGTCTTCACCTTGAAAGTCCTTCCGGCCTACGTAGTGGCCTCGTTACCCTCTCCTTCTATTTAGAAGTAGCAGATGGGAGTTCGATTCTCTCTTTGGAGAGATTTTCTCCAGCAATTTGTGGTGGGAAAATGATCCATTCGAGAATACACACGCCTCGACTTCACGTTCGACGAGTGAAAGGGATGGCTGCCCACTCCTTCCACTATCGATATCGTTCCACCACAATTATTCGCGGGTTTTCCTTCCACGGTATTTTTTCATGCAGATGATGAACCGTACGCATGTCGCTGAATTCGTTATTAGCATAGGCAGCCCTCGTTGTCGCTGGTTTTTGTCGGCAAACAGCGCCAAACGCTCGTTGATGGTGTGTGCCCCCCACGCGCGATGCCCCACGGCTCTTGCCTGGTCAGTCCGACAACTTCAACAACATCATGTCGAGCTTCGAGCTGAACCCTAGCAATCCTCGCAGCGCAGAAGCGATGGCGAGGGGCGATGGCGTCGAAGCCTTCGTCCAGGTGATTAGCTAGTCAAGTTGGTTCCGCGAATAGTGCGAGCATCGTTCTCGCGGGTAACTGTGCAATGTGCGCGTGCTGTTGTGAGGCATGCTCTGAGCATCGGTTGATTTACATCTGCTTGGTACCGCCGTACACTCTTTGTACACGACGACTTCCGTTGCGTGCTTGGCGTTTTGCACAACGTGGAGTTGTGATGCAAATCGGGAGTGATTTCCACCGCCAACGACGCGCGGCACCTCCAAGGCGCACAACGGCAGCAGCGTGGTCGTTCGTTAAAGCTGAATTTGTTGCCTTTGCTAGTGCGCACAACTTACCTTGACGTTTGCTTGTTTCATCTGAACAGGCTCTGGCGCACTCTGCGACACAAAGGCGGGAGAGGGAGGCCGCCGAGGCGGCGGCTCAGGAGGGGGCGGAAGGGGAAGGCGAAGGAGGTGGTGCGGGAGCAGAGGGGGGAAATGACCCAAGAACGGAGGGATAGACAGACACAAGAAGAGAAAGAAACGAAGATGCCTTACCTAAGTGAGATTTCAAGCTGATTGGGCAGTAATACTGTAGCATAAGAGAAAGCCCCATGGAGCAAGTTACTTGGAAGAATCGCTCCGTTGTTTCTCTACCCGACAAAGCGAAATCGCATGGCACCCTTACGGTGGTGTTACATCGACTTATATTGAGTGACAGACACTCCCGAAAACACCTGCAACCAGACACGTCGCGGGTCTTCCCAAGCCGGACTAAGTGCACTGGAATACGTTGCTGCGGGCGAGCTTCTAACGCACGGACCTACTTTCCCCGAGGCGCTGTGGAACCATTCTTTTCACAGACGGCTAATAGGGCACTAAGCCAACACCACCTCCGAAAGTCCCAACACCGCGAGAACTAAAACAACCTATGGCAGAGACGACGCACCGAAGCCGGGGGAAGACTGACACTGGACCCAACCTATCCGGCCTACTGGGCAGGTGTTCCCCCTTGTTGCACGCCACGAATCCCCAGTCAACGGCCCAACAAGCAAACGCCATTTTCAAGGGGAAAAACGACTTCAATCCAGGTGTCATGGTGCAACATCTCCCCCGTTCAGAGGAAAGGCAAAGGGTAAAACCAGCTCACGTATGGAGTTGATAGCTTTCTCGAGGCGTCCATCTACTTTGGTGGCAAGCCGTGCTCTGTGGGTGAAGCACGAGGTGAAGAAACAAGTGAGTTCAGCAGCCTTCGCGTTGGGAAACGGGCTGCCAACAAAAAACTCCCGCTGAAACCCGAGGCATGATTTTTTACTTCATACATGGTCTAAATGTATTTTTTTTAGCATGTTTTTCGTTTTCCATAGGCAGCAACGCAGCAACACTTGTGTATACACGCAAGCTTGGGAAGCCAAAACTGAAGGACCGCCTTCGCGGGGAATTCAACTCCTCGTGCATGCGAGTGTACAGCTACTTCAGGCAACGAATGGCATTATTTGAACGACCGCGAAGATAAAAGCAAACACTGCCGAGCCAGCACGAAGAATTTCAAAGCCCCCGGGTCCACAAAATGATACGAGGACATTCCGTGCAGCACATTGTGCAATGGGTCTGGTGGCTTCGATCGTTGTTAGATGTTCCAATCACCCAACCACAGGGCACGGAAAACCCCCCTTCTGTTGTAGATTGAAGAAGTACCCTGACAAACATAAGTGCAATCACCCAACCACGGGGCACGGAAAACCCCCCTTCTGTTGTAGATTGAAGAAGTACCCTGACAAACATAAGTGCAATCACCCAACCACGGGGCACGGAAAACCCCCCTTCTGTTGTAGATTGAAGAAGTACCCTGACAAACATAAGTGCAATCACCCAACCACGGGGCACGGAAAACCCCCCTTCTGTTGTAGATTGAAGAAGTACCCTGACAAACATAAGATGACAGACGGCGCGATTTGATTCTCTCCATGAAAAATGAATTAAACAACGACGCTTGCTCCCCGGCATCCCGAAGCGGAATGAATATTCCAAACCTGGCACGTCCGAAAGCACACGACACAAGTCCTACAGGTAGAACAGGCGGGGGTTCCATCCGTTGCGAAAGGATCTTCGTCTGCAAAACATCACCCAACACATCACACTCCACCATGGTACGCCATGTGGTTTAATCAGGCCGTATACTGTCTTCAATTGATTCATCACCCGCATATGACAACTTACAAATGTGCAAACAATGAAATTCACAACATAAAAAAAAAAATGTGGTGCGTGTACATGTACAACAGTCCTACAGCTGTAGTCTATATTCAAGTCGCCTAAAACAGCAACGAAGTAATTTCTAAAAACAGCAAGTTGTCAAACGACACTGCGCCATGTTCCCTGTGAAGGTCACATTCCACATAAAATTAAGAATGTATCCGCCTATACAGATGCTTTTGTTCATAGCTCCAACTAGCATTACATGTAACTCAGTGTTGGGCTAAACTCCAAATATGCCAAGTCTCCAGTTGGTTTCAATCCACATACTGAAAAGACTTAAGCACATCCCTTTCGACTGAGGTTGTATCTCGAACGGGTTGTTTTCTGTGAGGTTATGTTATGTTTAGACTACACTTTCTAAAGAGAAAGGAGTACACACCCACAAACCTCGAGCAACGAACACAACCGTACGCCACAGCAAAGGCAAGGATGGGGACAATAACACGACCGGCCTCCCTTGGTGGCCGAAAGTGGCGTCTACCGCGCCACGCAGTTTGGGTGCTACACGCCACTTGGTGGCCGGCGCAATAATCTTACGGGTTGGGAGTACATGATGTTTGAGACCCGTGACTCTCGTCCTCGACATGGATATGGCGCGAGCGCGTCTGTTCGGCTGTTTCCGTCTCGAAACGCAAACCGCCTCTCAGAACACGAACAAAAAATATACAACGTCCCTTCCGCGCCGCTCGGCAAACACGCACCTCTATGACTGCTGTATCCCAAATGCCAGGGGCGCATCGGGCAACAACATCGCAATTGCAAATCGAATCGAGCGCGAACAACCCAACGAGAGGAAAGGAAGGCAAGATCACTATCTACCTCGAATGGATACATCCTTCCACACTGACACAAGCGCCAAGGGCCCCCAATCGTCTACATTCTGTTCCGTTTGGCTCAAGAGTGTTGCGTAAACGATTTTGGCTCCAAGGATACACACAACGGTACTGAACACTTGTATTGCCACCCACACATCACGTTGTCCAGACTGGACAGAATAGACACACACACACCAACACGGCACGCGGCAAGCATCATCCCAAAAAAAAACAATTTACCACTCCTTCGGGGATGGCGCAAGCAGAGGCCCAGATCGAACGACCTATAAAACGACACGCGAATCACAGCCAAGCAAGTAAGCTCTAAAAAAAACACCTGTAAGTGTTTTGGAAAGGACTGGTGTAATTGAAGAAATCAACAACAACGACAAGTGACGCCCAATGACTTGTTGAAGTGCGGATCACAGCCAAGTGCGAAAACACTACAAAACTACCGTAAGTGTTTACTCGGAGTGCTGAAAAAGACTGATGTCATTGAAAAAATAAACAAAACTCGAGAAGTGACGCCCAGTGACTTGTTGGAAGTCACGAACCACCACCCTACACACGTACAGCCTCGTCCGAGGAAACGACGACTTCACCAACAAGCTGGGATAGAATATATGTAAACCTCGGGCAGCCAACACACTCATGATGGGCGTACGACAGCACGACAAAAGGGATGTACTAACAAAACATTTCAACTGGAAGACGCACAGAAATGGAAGCACACACGCCACAATATCCACGCTTGTGGCACGACGGGGCAAGAAACAAACGAGGAAGCAACACCTCACCAACCCCCTGAAGAAATCACCTACGCGAGTACGCGAATACGCGAATACGAGGGGGGGGGGGACCAAGGACATCACGGCACCACAAAAGTAGAACCCACGAGCGCCGATACACAACCGTTTCCGGCGTTGTTTTTTTTCTTTTATCTTTCGCAACAGACGGTCGAGCGAAACTGAAACAAAATCACCACAATCGATCGGTGAAAGGAAATGGAACAACAGAACACAAGTCTCCAAAGCATTTGACTGTCGTTGCAGTTAGCAGCCTGTATACAGGAAACAGCACACGTTCCCTCCCTTCCCCCCCCGTCTCAGAGCCGCGTCATGCTGGTCAGGCCAGCGAGGTCTACCTGCGCCCACAGGCCGCCACAGAGGACTCGTGGAAGTCATCGTCTGACCCTGCCCCGCCACCATCGCCCAGTCTGCCGCTGCCCCCCCTCCCCCTACCCACACCACCGCTCCTCCCACCCCTGCCACTGGAGCTCAACTTATGTGGCGCTGCGCACCCAGGCTTGCTCTTGCGCTTCGAGGGTGGATTGGGAGCCGAGACGTTAGTGGCGGTCCCCCCGGCTACTGCCTGCCTGTCGGTGTGTGGAGGGAGGGAAGCGAATGCGCCGTCGCCAGAGGTTCCCTGAGCCCGTCCACGCGCGACGTTTGGCGATGAACCCACGCGCAGGCCGGTCGTCTTCGTTCTCTGTTGCTGCTCGAGCTGCTGCTCCTGCCGCTGCTGCTCCTGCTCCTGCTGCCGCTGCTGGTGAATCCTGTGTCCTTCCAGCGCAGTTGCGGCCCAAGTCGGGCGGTCGGAGGTGGGTACCATGTCATCCCCACCCGTCGAGCTCCCCTTCGCCCGCCCGCTACGGGTACCACCACCCACTACCGCTCCGGCCCGTCGAAGGCGGCGGCGGGGCGGTACGGGTGTCAGCAACACTCGGCGAAGAGGGTTTGGCGTTGCCCGAGTCCCAAACGCCAGAGACCTTGCCCGCCTCCTTGCTCCTTGGCGGCGTCCTTCGCCGGTTTGCGACCATTCGTCGCCGTTTCGCGACCGCCGCCAGCTCCGCCCCTCCTCCGGGCGCTGACTGCTGTGGTCCCGGCCCTCCCCTTGCCGTTCCCCGGTTGCGCGGTCGCTCCTGCCGTCTCGGCGGCGGAGGCGGCGGCCCTCGGCGGTTTACGACCCCCCGTCGCCGTTTTGCGGCCGCCTTCTGTGCCCCCTGTCTCCCCTTGCCCTTCCCCGGTGTCGTGGTCGCTGCTGCTGTCTCGGAGGCGGCGGAGGCGGTGGTGGAAGCGGCAACCCTGCCCTCTTCCGTGTTGCCAAGCGTGTAACCACTCTTTGCCCTGACTCCGCTGACGAGCGAAAATACGACGACAAAAACAAGACTATCGGCGGAGCGTGAGGCAAAAACATAAAGAAAGGGGGTACCTGTTGTTGGAATACTCAATGTCAGTCATTAGAGTTTGCACTGCTGGAAAGGTATTCACTCAAGGAGTATTACCGGAACAGTCTTTGGTATGTTGATTCAGTAATCGGATCATTGTACACACCTAAGGGTATACATTGAACGATAGAAGTATGGTACATCGGACCATTGTCCTACAGGATATTCTAGTAACGTTGTCACAGGTCGGATTGACCGTTTATTACGGTGATCGGAATGTTGCAATAGCCCGTGTGTGTTTCCTTTGTGTGTTTCCTTTCCGTGATGATGATGGATGGCTCGCCCCCGTGGTGCTCGCCCCCACTCGCTCACCCTCTTTCGCTTCCCCTTTCTCTCTTCTGACCTTTCGGCCAACTAAGCGCCGATTTAAACCATACATTTTGGTCTACAACACAAGTGTACTTGACAGTCACTCTGTGAGCCTCTGCACACTGTTACTACACAGTGGCCATTGCCAGGGATACACCTATCACAAAGGATGCATCTCAACACCTGTTGCGGACCATGTGGATTTATCGACCCTTGCAAACGAGGAATAATCGCGGGCAAGAAAGAGCCAATCACATTCGTCAACAAGACTGTTGAGTTAAAAAAAAATCCCTCTTCGGCTCCCTGGGCTCTTTGAGTTCGAAGACATTGTGTGAGCTGTCGACCCTGGGAAAGACTACACTCAAGCTGGCAGCCAGCTTATCTTGTCGTCTTGAATCACTTCACTCCGGAGGGAGGGAGGGAACACTTGTAAAGTTGTCGTAGAGACAAGGAAAAAAAAACACTTTCTCTGCGCATTTCTCCTTCTCACCCTTGCCCGTCGTGCTCGACCGGCGCAGACACGAAGTGAACCTCGGAATGACCGGTGAACGGCGAGTGCTTGTGGCCCGCTCGGTGAGAACTATCCATTCAGGGGTCGCCCATTGATTTGCGCTGTTCCTCATTGAGATTCTGTGGGAGTGCGACAAAGAGACACACAATTTGGAAATTCCGTAGGACCCAGGAAGAAAGAAGACGACCTCGCGTACTTGCACGCGGATTCTAGTTCCGTCCGTCCTCCCGTTTCGCACACTTGTACAACGCATGCGACAAACCCCACCCGCCGCCGGCTTTGTCCGGACTCGACCCAGGCTCACGATAGAGCAAGTCTTCAAGGCGTATCAGGACGGCGTGTCTGGTAAACCGCATCCACAAACAACAACGCGTTTAAAAAACGCCTGCGTGCCCGCAGAGTAAGAAAAAGAGGGCTAACTACCTCAACCGGACAAACGCAGACAAACAGACATTGTTACACCACCGCTCGAAAGACAGAGGGCGCGAGGAGCAACAACGCAGAACCCGCAATCACCAGAGGCTGGCCAGCCAGTTGCGAGAAAACAATAACATAGAAAAATAACACCCGCGTGCATAACGAGGGTTGTTCGTGGCGCACTGGCAATAACTAGCGACCGGTGGCTAGCCGAGAGGAGAGGACGGACAAGCTTGACTCGCGCTTCATTTAACTACTTTCTCTGTGTTTATTGACCCCGACACCTCAGACAATCGCGTCGCGACGGCCGAACTCACCGCTAGCGTCCCTTCAGGCTTAATCTTGTCGGAGTCGAGCAAGAACTTGACAATCGCCGCAATGCCGCCCTTGTGCTGACCGGACGTGAGGTGTTTCCTGAGCCCCGGCGCGCTGACACGTTTGTCACGCCCCGCGGTCGGGGCGCAGCCGGGGTGCACACACACCTGGAACTTACCGTCTTTGGCACCGGGGGGCCAACAGCGGCTCTTCTGCTGGTGTTGTCTTTGAAGGTCGCGGCCTTAACATGCCGCCCGATCCACCACCCAAGTACCCGCCATAGCGCCCCTGGCACGCGAAAAGGATGCCCCACGTTCCGTGCGTGGCCTGGTTGTTTGTTTTCGGATCGACATTGACAAGCACGCGGGTGGGGTGGTCAACTTGTGAGCGCCGCGATAAAGCACAACAAACACGGTGCATGAGAAGTAGCGGTGGTCGGATTTCGGGCGTGGGTCTTCGTGTACACATAAAAGACGTTCCCTCTTCTGCCCGTCAGCGCGCACACTATTCAAGGCAATACCACACTCACACAATACCAATATTCAAAAGAAAAAGAAAAAAAGAGGAGAAAAAGAAACGTGAACTCATCAACCGACGCGAGGAAAAGATGAGGTCATGCACTCGAGGCGCGCTCGAGAAAAAGAAAGAAAAACAAAGAGGGTTCGATCGAACAGGGAAACATGTGCTCAATCTTCTTCAAAGTGCAAACAAAAAAATACGCTACGTTAGTAAGAAGCCGCAAGAAGCTCTACGGAAACAACCTCCTCGTCTCGACCCACCGACTTGACCAATGCGTAGATCAGCTCGAGGAGTACGTCGGGTGCTCTGTCAAGACCGAGGGCTCTCTCGATGACGGGCACCCCGTCTGCCACCCTCTTCAGCGCGACACGTAGGCGGGCGCTGGTTTTGGGCGAAAGGGGTCGCCCTCCGGCCTCGCTAGCGTCGGACAGAGCGGCGCCATCGCGTCGCGCATGACGTTTGTGAACGAAGCTATGGCATCGAGGCGACGTTGCTCCTGTACGAGTGCGGCGCGGGCGCAACCGCATCATCAGAGTTTCGGCGGCCATTGAACAACTACATAGAGCACGTCGAGGGCACAAGGACAACGCCCCCCCCACGCTGCACGAAATGTCTCCGCGGGGCACCGACATCGACCCGAAGCAAGCTGAGCCGTTAGAAGCTGTAGGCACGGGTAAGATAACTGCTATGCGAACGCCCGCGGGTCCTTTATTCCTCCCGTCTCCCGTCTCTCTCTATCTCTCTCTCTCTCTCTCTCTCTCTCCCTCTCTCTCTCTCTCTCTCTCTCCCAT